TCAGAATTTTAACACGCTGTAGCTAAAAAGTTAAGAGGTTTCAGACATAAGTTCATATAAACTTCTCTTCCTAAAATGAGCTAAGCAATCATATCCTGTATTTTTAGCTATCGATTAAATTACAACCTGAATAGGTGTTGGTAAACTTTGTGGGGTTGACACGTATCTGAAAGCTCTCGTTTTGCAAATAAAAGATTCCATTTTGTATAGTTTCTGTTTATTTTGGTCCATTAAAGACACTTAGCATCTATATTAGCACGTGGGCTGTACTGTGTCCGTCCACTTTTTTTGACCCGAGGGAATTTCCGTTCACCGTTAAGTGTTCCATTCTAATCGTGTGAAGAACTGCATTCGGTGTCCATCATAAAACGACCCAGGGAAGCTTAATAGAAAAAGGTCTATCAAAAAGTTTGAGCTCGCGTGTTCTCACGGCAAGTGCACTCCCTTTTTCGCACGCTTTTCACGCTGGCGATCCGCCATGCTTTGCTTTAAAACGCCGTTTTTCTTCATACACTAAAGATTCTTTGATAGTTTTATCGCATGTCTATAAATAGATTACGGCCTCTTTTTCATCCAGACTGCATTTCACGTTTATGTAAGAATAAATCGGACATCTGGGTTGTTACTTATGGCGGCGATAATTGAAGACGATCAAAAACGCTAAATGAGTCAGCATTTTGTGAGTCTGGGAAATATGGTATGAGGTAAAATAAGAGGGAGTTTCTATACTAGTGTATGAAAACAGCATAGGTATGAATTGAAATTATAAAAACATCCCGTAGCCCACCCAACTAGCAAAGTAGTGCTATAAGCTTTTGGTAAAAGAACCGTTCAGCCATAAAAGCTCTCTATTGTTGTTGCCTGAACACCAAAATGCTGGCTTAATGTTGTGTGGAATGCAAATTTGCTTTCTACAACATATTTGCTCTAAAATGAGCTTTTTAAAATATTCTTTAGCATAGTTATACAACACCTTATAGGACAAATTTTTAACTGTTGCATAAACGTTTATACAACTATTTTATATGGCATATTTACACGTTAGTCAAAATGGTTGTGTTGTGGCATCCATGGTAACGTTTATAAAACAAACCCGAGCCTTGTTGTTTTGCTGTGCTAATTCACTACTTTAGCCAACAAGTTGCTCCCAACGGAAGCACTTCTACAACTTTTGTTTCGTAACTGTTAAAGGCTGTACATATGCTAAATATGTTGGTATACAACTCCACCATAACCTAACTTTCTGCTGTCATATTTTTGTTAAAATGCCATAACCAATAATTTAAGACAAACAACGCATGCATATTGGTTCAAAAGGTTTTATCAACTGTTCAAACAGAAGATATAGATCTGGTACAAATTCTGGGTAAATCATTCGACTCTGTCGGTATTTCATTTCAGATATCTGTCAAATTGTTGTATAACACCTGCAAGCAACACCAAAATATTCTAATAAACTGAAGACAACATGGACGATGCCATGATTATACACAACCATCAGCTATATTGGGCAAACATTTATTCCTTTATTTGGTATTAAATAATTATGTTTCAGTTCGAAATTACAGATATAAAGTGATAAACATTAGTGTAATTGTGGTTAAATAGAGGATTTGTGGAAGATTTGACGCAGATAAGTTCAGTTTTCCATCTTAAAAATCTAGACATACTTTTGATCATTATCAAAATATGCATCAAATAAGAAGCCCGTAGAAATTGCGTAACTACTATGCACGATAATCACAATAAAATTTGCTGCGAAAGTAATTCAATAGCCCTATATCACAGTGTAGAAGTTTATCATATACCTGTGTATGAAATTCACAATGACCGATATGTAAGTAAACAAGATGACTGTAATGTGTTAGTTATATATTCTTCACTTCGTCTATGCAATACATAAGAAATAGTTTGGTTGCAATAAAGTAGAATCACGTAACAGAATAGTTGTATAGTTGACAAAGACTGAATCTTGCACTGACGCAAATGTCCTAGAGCGGCTGCAAGGGGCTTACACTTTTGTTGTATAACTGTTACCTGCAGCCCTTATACAACCCCTTAAATGACTGAAGTGTCCTGTTAGGTGTGGCCATTCCGCTTGTATAGCTGTTCTAAGAGGGTTTTGCCAATGTTCTTACAGTATACAATGCTGTGTAAGGAATACTGTATAATCATTCTTGCAACTCTAATAGTAGTGATAATTGTTAGTTGTGCAGTTGAAGGAATAACGCGTGGCAAAGTCTTGAAGTGTACAGATTTTCATTTTTCCATATCTAGTTGAATAAGCAATATCCTGTATATACAGGGTGTTTCAAATTCGACCCTAGGGGTTGTTTAGGGAATCAACAAGGTACAGCTTAGAAAGGTTCGAAATTCAAATATTTCCGGAGAGATACGGAAAAAACCGAATTTTCTCAAAACAATTTTATTTGATGATGATGATTGGCACATTCAGATTGCAACTTTCTTCTTCTGCAAGATGGCATAACTGAAATTTCAATATGACGTATCATCTATGGTCCTCCGATATCAATTTTACTTTTTCTTACAGACGCCATGTTGGATCTGTGCACTGTAGTAGTAGTATACGTTTAATTTTTCCCCAAAATACAATGTGTTAATAAATACAAATGCTAACTCCAATATAATAATAAACGTAAAATAAAACATAATACCTGACTTTCACAAAATAATCTTAAATTAACATGTTTTATATGCCACAGAAAATTTTTAAATTGTACTGTAAAGCCCATTGAAACCAAAATAGTTGGCTGCGCACGGGGAGATTTTTTTTTATATAATTTTGATAATAAATTTTGCTTAGAGCAGGATTTATACAACAAGTACATTGTAAGTATGGAAGGTAAGGAGGAGTAGCACTTATATAATAAAGTTTATTCCACTAACTACAGAAATATGAAGGGTGGGGAGGAGTAATACTAGCGTAGTACGATTTCTAGTAAATAATTTCTACTAGATTTCGTGGCTCTTGTCTACCACTTAAAAAGACATATTTTTTAAATAAAGATTTTATCAAAGAGAATGAGTTTATTTTATCAACATATATACGGTACACGTATGGCAAACAATTATGAATTTTACATGATAGGTAGGTGGGGCATCGCAAGCTTACATTTCTTTGAAAAGTTTGTATTTTTAAGTTTTCATTTTCTTTATATCTAGTACTATAAGCATGGCTAGTTTTATTGAAGTTGTTTTTGTGTTTGTATATGAATTGAATTAATTCATGCAGAAACAGTTGCCTTAGGTCAAACACTCCAGTCTCTGAAAATAATTTATCAGAAGGATAAGTAATTTTTTTGCTAGATATTACTTTCAACATTCTTTTTTGGAGTATATCCAGAGGCCGCAAGTGACAATATGCGGTACTTCCCCAACTCAAAATAGCGTATTATAGACGTGATTCAACTAATGAATAATACAACATTTTCAGGGGTATGTAGTCTATGAGATGTTTTAAGTATTTAAAGCGATATAAGAGTTGTCGTAAGGTATTTGTAATGTTAGCTATATGAACATCCCATCTCAAGTGGCGATCAATGGTGAATAGAAAATGTTTATCGTTTATAATTCGTTCACTCATATCTTCACAAAATGTAATCGCCGATCAAAATCGTCTTCATTAAGTTCTCGTACCAGGTGAATTTTATACGGATGAAAACTATGGGCCTTTAGAATCCGTTGGACAGTACGTCGACTAACACCACACGCAGTCTCCAATTTGCGGGTACTTAACGTAGGATCTACATAATCTTGCCCTAAAACCCCCACTTCTATTGCTTCGTTCCTTATGGGATTTTCATTGTTGCGTTTTTTATTGGCGACTGACCCAGTTTCCCGAAATTTAGCTACAAGTTCTAGAACATATTTTCGATGCACGTTACTGTTCTCATGTCGCTCATTAAATATTTCTGCTGTTCTATTAGCGCACTGATTATTTCCGAAAAATATTTCGATAATTTCAACTCTTTCTGCTGTGGAATATACCATGGTTAATTTATGTAATAAAGCGTTTCAAGTTATTTTAGCAACAAAGTTTGGTCAAATCAATCGCAAACTATGTACTAAATTCCTATTTAAAATAAGTACGAGATATTTCCTTATCTTTCTTCAAGAAATAACTTTTTTGCCAGAAAAAAAAAAACGTTCCAGCAGCTATTTTCAACAACAAAATGATAAACAAACCATGGGCGTAGTGAAGAAAAGCATTTACTTATCAAGTAAATTCTTTTAGTCAAATTTATTCTGAAAGTAGTACAAACTAATCTAATGACCTATTAAAGTCTACTTTAAGCTTTAAATCAATAAATCTTCAAAACTACTGAACTGAAGCTCATGTATTTTACATCATTATAAATGGAATTGAAATACCTTTAAAGTAAGGTATCACTCGATACCCCTTTCCATTTAAGATTTTAGGGTTGGTGTCACCCCCGCCCAGGGGGTTGCACGTGTTAACGTGATTTTTTGCCAAACTTGTGTTCCCCTCGAAAAAAAAATCGACGGGTCTGAGCGTTTTTCCAAAAAAAAACTGAGCTTTCAGTAAATGCGTCTGTTTTGTTTTCGATGCGCCACCCTGTATAAGTAAGAGTTTGACAAACGAAATTAGGGTATATAACTATCCATAATTTCGCAACATCGCAACTAGATGGAGACAGTAGGATAGTGATGGTGGTGGATGGTGGTGTAGTGATGGGAATATTTATCTGAAATAAAAGAAATTACTACTTAACAATGAACTATTTTCATCATTAAAATAATGCAAAATTGCACAGTGTCACAGTAATTTACATTGTATGCTATATTCTTATAATTTTGAGCAATCTTTTGTGTGAACAAGGAAAAAACAGCTCATAAAGCAGTATTCTATACCACAGTATTACCATACAAAATGCAAATTTGACGTTCTATAAAAGAAAAAATGATATTTTCGTGCAAGTTACATCCTAATCTTTCATTTTAAAATAAGAAATGTAATATTTGCGATAAGCCCCAAAAAAGATGGGTAACCACAGTAACCGCCTTCATACCCAGTCAGACAAGACTGTCTCAATTTTGACTGATGTGAGTAGGTCATACTACCATCGAAAGTGAATCATCCGTCCATCGCACTATGCACTTAAAAATGTCTTCAAGCCACATTCCACTCATCAATGAAGAAAGTCACGAATCAAGGTAAAACTAGCTCTAGGATTAACCTATCAATACTAGCAACAACACAATAAGCCAGAAGTGATTATTTTTGGTAAATAGTTCGTCTTCCAGAGAGCATCTGAAACCCATCACAGAACATTCAAGAAAAGAAGGAAATCATGAGAAAGGCAGCGACTTTTGTGATGCTGCTTTAAAATTACTTCTAGATAACATGACTACACCAGATGATGTGTCAAGCATATTTAAAACGGATGCCCAACTTAAGGAAAGCCGTGAGTAATACTGAGAACATGCGTTATGCATATTGTATGCATTCTAAAATTGAATAGTGCTCAAAACTGCGAAAATCGGCATCATTGATTTTTATTATTTTAATCATAAACTGACCCTTCACGAGTACTTTACACGCCTACTGCCGAGGAAGTATTGTGTTTGCAAAAAAATTCGATAATGATTTATTGTTGTCACACACTTCCGTCTGTATGTCTGTCTGTCCGCTAATCATTGGCTCGTCTGTAAGTTGGAAACTATTGCTCGGATTTGGATGAACTTTTAGCACAAGGTTGCTGCTAAGGATGGAAAGGAGAATCGGTCCAGTGACGCCGGTGAAAAAGCCACAAGTGCCAAAATCACTCAAACTTTCTTTTTTGACGTTTCAGAGGCTCCTGATCAATATTAAAACTTTTGTAGTGGATAAAAATTGGTGGTTGGTGATTGTAAACGGTGGCACATTTTTCTCCAGATAATAAAACAAGCATTGTTTATCCGCATCCGTTGGATAAAAAACCTCCCCAATTCTTCCTTTTTGATACAGTGCACCTTCTAAAATGTATCCGCAATAATTGGCTGAATTCAAAACTAGACCAAATTTTAACATACCCAGATTTTGAAACACATGAGGTAAATGTTGCTTCATTTAAATCTCTTAAAACATTGTACCAAATGGAAAGTCATAAATTACTGAAAAATGGTTATGGTTTGACCCTAAAAGCTTTATATCCTACAAACCTTGAAGGACAAAATGTTCATTGCATGCAGTATCAAGGTATGGTAAAAGCATACAGCACTCCGAAGAGACAGCAAAATTCATTGATATTATATGGAAGTGGTGGAGAATCGTCAATGTAAAAAGTCCATTGAAAGGAAAGCGGTTAAATGACCTTTATGCAAAGCCTATTGTTTGCTCTAACAGTGATGGACAACGTGATGACAGTAAGCTGACATTCTTGCAAAAAAATGCTAGATTGGCTAGAAGAGTGGAATGATCCAGCAAAATTTTCAAAAAGACTAACTAGTCAGACTTACACTGCACTACATCATACAGTATATGACTTATTGGAATTAGTAAGGGACTGTAAATCTGAACTGCACAGTAATTATATATTGTTAGGTAAATTTCAAACTGACTCATTGGAAAATAGATTTGGTAAGTATCGTCAACTGGCAGGCGGTCAATATAATATACTACGGTTTTTATACTGTTTTTTTTTAATTCACTAACGCTCTAAAAATGAATATTTCAGCCGCAGTAAAGAATCAACGTTGGCGGATTTTGGTTCTTGACATCCTTTACGATCGGTTACGATGCCTAGAGTACGGAGACCTGTACGATTCCGTCAACTTAGTGAGCTGGATAGGGGGCGTATAGTGGGACTTCGGGAAGCTGGACTTTCTTTTCGGGCAATTGCAGTTAGAGTGCAAAGAAGTGTAGACACTGTGGTTAGGTGTTGTCATGCATGGCTTCGAGAAGGCCGTACGCAAAGAGCAAGGGGCACTGGACGCCGCCGTAGAACAACAGACCGTGAAGATCGCCGCCTAAGATTTGGCTTGTTTTCATACCGGCCACACTGGGTCCTCCCTTTAACTCGAGAACACCGACGTAATCGTCTTGAGTGGTGCAGACAACGGTCACTCTGGGATCAGGAATGGAACAGTATTGTCTTTAGTGACGAGTCTCGATTTTGTTTAGGCATGCACGATGATCGTGCCAGGGTTAGAAGGCGACGTGGTGAAAGGAGGAATCCACAGTTTTTTGTTGAAAGACATGTTCATCACACTGTTGGAGTTATGGTTTGGGGTGCTATAGCTTATGGTTCCAGGTCACCTTTAATCTTCATCAGAGGTAACATGAACGCGCCAGCGTTATATCCACGAAGTTCTAAAACCCCATCTTTTACCCTATCTTGACACCCTGGCAGATCCAACTTTCCAACAAGATGATGCCCGACCACATGTTGCAAGAGTCACAATAGACTTCTTTCAACATAATGAAGTCACATTGTTACCATGGCCACCAAGATCTCCCGACTTATCCCCAATTGAGCTCGTGTGGGATATGATGGGTAGGAGATTGCTCAATTTGCAACGTCCTCCTCAGACTCTAGAAGCACTTCGAGAGGAGTTGGTGGTTGCCTGGAATGAGATACCACAGGAGGACATTGACCACCTGATCAGAAGCATGCCTAGGCGCGTTGGAGAATGCGTAGCACATCAGGGTGCATCCACACATTATTAAAGGTCAAAGGGCTTCAAAGCCGTGCAATCATTATGAAATTTTTATCATTTACTTGTTATGCTTCATTAAGTACTTATACAAAATTTTATTAAAATAAAACCATTTAAACTGGGTGTTCGGATTTATATGTCACTTAGTATATATCAATTCGTCAGTTATATGAATCTGAGAAAAAGTTACGAACTCAAAGCCTGATGTCATTGAAGTCTCGCTATGGTGATATACAGATAGATAAATTCTGTGAAAATGATGATATAGAAATAGATGAAATTCCACACAATTTTAATGATTACCACTTTTTCCGGGAAATTGAAATTTTGATATTGATAGTATAAAGGATGAAATCCCTGTCATCACCTTCTTAGCTGGTTACTGTTGTTATGCCTTATTAAAGAAAAATCACTGCGAAAGGAAAATTTGCCACACACAGATGATATTGATATAGAAGACAAGCACAATATTATACAGAATTTGAGTAGAGGTGGCTTAAAGTTCCCAAAGGATCCAGTTATTAATATTATCATGCTAAGTTATATAATTTTCAATAAAATAAAAGAGACGAGGAATCATTTTTAGAAATCACTGAGAAGAGATAATTAACAATCTGAGTGATAATAATTACGACACTTCATTTTCGCGTTGCACAGTCCATTCACCAGATTATAAAACTAATTGTTATTTGCACAGTCATTACATTTTTGAAAAATTATTGTGTCAAAACGAACAACGGCTTTGCAAGCGCGAATAAAGCAAAGAAACGTAAATTGACTACATTCACATGAGGCCGCAACATTTACATAGCTGTAGATAAATGTTTATTTGTACATATTCAGAATTTAGCACATTAATTTTCGTTATTCTAATTTTTGTTATTTTTTATCCTTGTTTTCTCTTTTCTAATTTTTGTTATTGCTTTGTGCTGTTATTTGTTTGTTCTAAGAGTTTTTATTAAGTTTTCGTTAATCTTTGTTATGTTTTTTCTGTTGCTTATTTTACTTTGATTTTATCTGTTTTTCTTATCATTTATCCTACACTTTTTCCTCCTCATCTTCCTTATACCTTTCCTGGCAAGAGCTTAACTCAGACCTCCTCGTTGGTTCTTGCTGGACACAACTGTTCTACAAGCACTACATTTTTTACATAATTTTCAAGTACCATTATATTATACCTATAATAATAGTAAATTGTCCACATATTCCTGTGAAATTTTGATGATCGGTTTTGACTAACATGGGGTTATTCATTGAAGAATTTATCATTTTTAGCAAGCTTGTATAACATCAACCTATTAATCTAATGTGCACGTAATGTTGGATGAAATATCAGTGAAAATCAGGGTGAAAATAATATAATAATAACTACTTTAATATTTTCCACCATGTTGCCTTCATATACCAAAAACACTTTTCCCAATTATCTGTTATTTGCATCAGGTAGAATATATTAAATATGCTGCAATAATATATTATTCACTGGCGCTGATGTACGGCATGCCGTGCTGTCGGCCGGCCGACCGGCCTACTCGTGGTGACGTCACGCGTCTGTTGTCAGGCCTTGCACTCTCGGTAGTAACGGTCAGACGCATTGGGCTATCCGGATTAGGTAGCTACGAGAAGCGACGTTGTCAGATGGACGGTAGTACAGGAAGGGCTGGGAATGAATGTCTATGAACTAATTGTTTGGGCCTGTTTGACTAACTTGATCCGTTTAATTTCTCTATCGTACGTATTCGTAGCTAACTTCTCAGAAGGTCTGGATCCAACTTAAATGTCCGTCCGACCAAAGACAGAAAACCATGGATAGCTCTTTCGTGCTTTATTGTCAACTCATCAGCATAATCTACGCTTGGTCTCTGGGGTAACTAGCGAAAGGGTAGTAACAATACTACAACTATTTAAAACTGTAATGACTCATACGCGTGATCAACACATGATCAGAGCTCGATCCCGGCTTCCTTCCACTACAGCCGTATAGCGTACGACATATGTCGTTTCTGTGGCTTTGCGGTGGTCAACAGCACAGACAGAGATGGAAATAATGGCTGATTGTTCTCCGCCGGTAGAACCAATGAAATCAAAGACGCGCCTCGACCGGCAGACTCATAGGCGTCGGCAACGCATTGGAACGTGTTTCGTTGAGTGATCGCATATTGTGTGTTTTTATAAGAATTGTTGTGTGATTGTTATTATTGTGACTTCTGTGGTAACTGTTTTGGTTATACTTAACCATGGAGAATACAAATGGCACGAGTGGAAGTACTGAAAGCCAGGGAACAAGTAGACGGCTTCGTAAAGCACTGAAGAGGGACGCGAAAGAAATTGTGCTCAACGTGTTCAATTATCTGAACAGAACTATGTCGCAGGGAGATGCACTCGCGCGTTGTGAAAGTATGACAGGCGTTCCAGAGTGGACCATTCGCAGGGTGGTGCATGAAAAGAAGAAAACTGGAGCTACTACTGATCCAAAGTTTAATTTGAAGGGACGAAAGGCCGTTAAATTGGATGACGATAGCAAAATGGCGTTCAGGCGAACCGTACATTCATTCTTCTTTAGGAATGAGATACCAACCCTCAAGGCTGTACATGCAGCGATCAAGGAAAATGAAATTATACCCCAAATGAGCGTCGAGGTAATGAGGAAATCACTGCACGAAATTAATTTTCGTTACGAAACGCGTAATCGGAAGTCAGTATTGATAGAGAGACCTGAAATAGTCGCCTGGCATCGAAAATACGTACGCGAAATGATTGAATATAGGCGACAAAGCAGAAAAATCTATTATTTGGACGAGACATGGGTAAATGCAGGTCACACAGTTAAAAAAACCTGGATAGACAGAAACGTAGTGAGTAACCGACAAGCAAGCATTGAAGGTTTGTTAACAGGTCTTCGTGGATTGTCAGGGAAAGGTCAAAGATTGATCGTAACTCATATTGGTAGCGATAGTGGCTTTTTAGAAGAGTGTGACTTGATTTTCGTCTCTAAGAAAGGAGGTGATTACCATGACGAAATGAATGCCAGCTGCTTCAAGAGCTGGTTTCAAGGGGTACTTCAGTGAGTTGAGCCCAACTCTGTGATCGTCATGGATAATGCTTCCTACCATAGTCATCGAGCCGAACGTATACCGACTATGGGATCTCGAAAAAGTGACATGCAGCAATGGTTGCGCGAAAAAGGAATCCCGTTTGACGATTCATGTGTGAAAGCGGAATTGTATGAAAAAATTAAACAGCACAAACCTGCGAACATTAGTTACGTGACTGATGAGATGGCCCGTCAATGTCGTGTCACTGTGCTGCGGTTACCGCCCTACCACTGTGAACTGAACCCAATAGAGCTCATCAGTGCTCAAGTGAAGGGTTATATTGCGCGCCATAACACAACCTTCAAATTACCAGACGTTAAGGTTTTACTTAAGACTTCCATACAGCTAGTAACGCCCGAAGCTTGGCAGAATGCTATCCGTCATGTTGTGAAGGAAGAAACAAAAATGTGGCAGCTTGACCACCACATCGACACCATCATAGAGCCAGTTATTGTCAATTTCAACGAGGAAAGCGATAGCGCCAGTTTATTACTGTCAGATGTAAGTGGAAGCGACGACGAATAAAGGTAATTCCCAAATTTTTGACTTACATTATGTTTCAAACCACTCTTTATTAAGCATGTGATAAATCTAGTTCACCCATGTTAAACATTCATACCCCGCCTATGAACAGCCGACTACTGGTAGTTAAGTGATGTTCACGTGAACATCGATGAGTCATTACAGTTTTAGATAGTTATAGTACATCCTCTATCCAGGATGTAAGGTCGATGGCACTGTCTTATTTCGGAAGGGTCCAACTTGTACTAAACATAGTCCTTTATGGACTGATGACAACAATGCGTTGACGTGTTTGACGCCATTTTTTACTAACGAATTAAGATATTTTGCTACTTCAAAAATTGTTCAAAGAAGACATGTAGAGATGTAGGTATACCTTTTTGTTGGATTTTTTTCAATTTCACAATCAATTTGAGAAGTTACGAGACATTTTTAGGAAGTCAGGGATTGCTATTTCTATGACTCTCAATATCTGGTATGTTTTTCAGTTGGTGGGAAGAATTCAAGAGAAAAATGTGAGTTCTGCAACAGAAGATGTTGCAATAACGGTAAAATTTGCTGTGAAAGGAAAAAACTCCAGTTCTACCTATTGAGCCAGTCTATTAATCGGCTGAGTACTATATCTTTATGCAGGGAAAATATGACTCTGGTCGAACAAAAACCTAGCGAGCAAGACAAGGAGAAAGCGAAAAGGTTGGGGTCCAGCAGTTTGAACTTCAGTACCGAAAGTTTGGGGTCTCTCGAAAAACTAGAAACGTTTAAGAAAATACGAAGGAGGATGAGGAATATGCAAAAATATTATCCAGAGGTATACAATAACAAAACAAACATCATAGAGCAATATGGTGGAAATGGAAGCCTGCTTAACGTAAAAAGTGAACTATTGGATATGGACATGACAAACAGTGCTATGTTCTGGGTGTAGATGATAATAGAAATCGCATAATCTTATTGGAGAATAAATATATTGAAATACTGCGCTCATAGATTTTTTTATATCAGACAATTTTTTCTTAAATGCTTACCTGAGCTAAAATCCTTCCTCAAAGGTAGACATACAGGGTGGCGCATCGAAGATGAAACAGACGCATTTACTGGCAGCTCAGTTTTTTTTTGGAAAAACGCTCAGAGCCGTCGATTTTGTTTTTGAGGGGAACACAAGTTTGGCAAAAAATCACGTTAGCACCTGCAGCCCCCTGGGCGGGGGTGACACCAACTCTAATATCTTGAATGGAAAAGGGGGTCGAGTGGTACCTTATTTTAAAGGTCTTTCAATTCCCCTTATAATGATGTAAAATACACGAGCTTCAGTTCAGTAGTTTTGAAGATTTATTGATTTAAAGCTTAAAGTAGACTTTAATAGGTACATCAGCTTAGTTTTTACTACTTTCAGAAGAAATTTGACTAAAAGAATTTACTTAATAAGTAAAAGCTTTTCTTCACTACTCCCATGGTTTGTTTATCATTTTGTTGTTGAAAATAGCTATTGGAGCGTTTTTTGTGGCAAAAAAGTTATTTCTTGAAGAAAGATAAGGAAATATCTCCTACTTATTTTAAATAGGAATTTAGTACATAGTTTGCGATTGATTTGACCAAACTTTGTTGCTAACATAACTTGTAACGCTTTATTACATAAATTATCCATGGTATATTCCACAGCAGAAAGAGTTGAAATTATCGAAATATTTTTCGGATTAATCAGTGCGCTAATAGAACAGCAGAAATATTTAATGAGCGACATAAGGACAGTAACGTGCATCGAAAATATGTTCTAGAACTTGTAGCTAAATTTCGGGAAACTGGGTCAGTCGCCAATAAAAAACGCAACATTGAAAATCCTATAAGGAACGAAGCAATAGACGTGGGGCATATATATACGTATATATATATATATATATATATATATATATAACCGTAATTTAGTTTATATAGGCCAAACTTCGAGGTCACTGAAAGGCAGGATAACTTCACACAAAAGTGAGAGAGATGTGCATTGGCATCTCATACTGACAACACAGGTCACTCTATGAATTATGGCAATATTGAGGTTCTTGACAAAGAAAAAAGACTCTCAAAACGTTTATTTTTAGAAATGTCCCACATTTTCATGACAGATCATTGCATGAATAAAAAGGCTGATGTTAAGCAGCTCAGTGTCATTTATTAGTACCTGTTGAACTGCGAAAAGCAGGAACGGCTACATATCCAAATCGAACCAACATCGTCACAAAATTAGAATACATTTCCAGTTGCTATCCTGGTAATTGAAATTTCTCACTCACAATCTTTAATACACACTCACATAACCTATCTTTTCAAGGTTGTATCACTATCTCACATTCGTACACTCATATGAACTACACATTTTTCCAAAACAAATTAATTCAGCATTTTAGTAGTTTGGGTGGAGGTTTACCGAGCGTCCCTCGTATACTTCATACCCAAATTGGGCAATGAGGTTTACAGTTCCACGGTCCGTCGCGTCAATCACTTGTCATCTGTCGACGCATTATCTTTCCGTGCCGTCCCCCTCTCCACGTGTAGCGGAAGTAGGAGGTTAGAGACTTGATTCCGATTGTTTCCCTAAAATGTCTTCTCATGTTTAATAATTTTTAATATGTTCGGGTGTATTGATATTTCTAACATGTAATGAAGGTATCTGTCGTTTTCAACTAGCCCAATGTCTCCGTCCTTTTGTTTTTATACTTATTACAAGTTCTATCTTCTCTACGTTCGTTTTGAAACACCTTGTGGCTGAAACCTCAACGACGAGTAAGTTGTTTGATAATTTAAATCTCTCCTGTATTCTTTGCTAGCATCACAATTGTGTTTTCAGAATCCTGATGAAGGCTCTATAGAGAATGCCGAAAGGTTGATTTTATCGTCAAAAGAGTCAACTTAAGCCTAAAGATTTGCCAATTTCCCAATTAACAATTGATTGTATATATATATATATACAGTGTGAGTCTTCATAAAGTGCACATATCAAAATCAGGGAAACTACACTCTATTTCATCGACGGATAAATCATCAAAAAAAAAAATTAAAGACAATAATTGATTTTTTATGAATATTTTAAAATTTTTAGAGTCAGCTGCTAACCCTATTTTTTTTTATTTAAATAAATCGTTACAACTTTTAAACTGAATGTCCTATCATATTGGAATAAATTTTGTAGTGATTGCAAATAATAGGCCGTACCAGTAAAGTGAAAATTTCCACGAAATTAAATGCTATAAATTTAAAATAAAGAGGAATATGCTGCAACTCACTATTTTTTCAATGATTTTTAAAACAATTGCTAAATTTCAATAAAAATTGTCCTATTTACCCTACATTTTTTAAATGTTAAGTTATTCTACATGTTATTAGCTTCCTAATGGTGAAAAATTGCAAGTTTATTACTTAGATACAAGTTTTTAAATCAGCGTTAGAAAAAAGCAGTGAACTCAGTTCGACGCCAGAGTAGGGATAAAACAACAGTATTAACCTACATGAATCATTCATTATCTTTAACAAATAAAATCAAATAGACTTGTCTATAGGATAATCATTTTGGATTAATGCATCAAATGTTCAAAATGGCCACCCCGTTGCTGCAAACACATTGTAGCGCGAAGTGAACTTTGATGAGTTGCCCTACGAATCATCTCGTGATCATTTTTGATTTCGTTTGCAAGACGCAAAACTCTTTCTTCAAGTTCCGCTTCGCTGTTTATGGAACTGCTGTACACCCTTTGTTTCATTGTCCCCCATAAAAAATAGTCGAGAGGTGTGAGATCTGGGGAACGAGCCGGCCACCCAACAGGTCCTTGTCGACCGATCCAGCAGCGTGGATAATTTTCATTAAGAAAAGACCTGACAATCAGCGAGTAATGGGCAGGACATCCATCCATTTGAAGCATCATTCTTCGACGGCTTTGCAGCGGCACTTCTTCCAACAGTCCGCAAAAGGTCCAGAAATCTCTCTCTGTTTAATGTCCTCGGGAGTATTATTGGACCAATCAAAAAGTTGTCAATCAGTGCGGCCCACACATTTACAGAAAATTTCACTTGAAATGTTGAAGCCCTTTTCAGCCTAGGGTTTTCATCTTTTGGGCACCACTTATGTAAATTACGACAGTTCACGATGCCGTCTCGCGTGAATTGAGATTCATCTGTCCACAGAATTGTTTTCGGGAATTCAGGATTGTCTCTTGTTTTTATTAAAATCCATGTAGACATAACGCACCTTGGACGCCAATCCACATCTTCATGCAAGTGCTGCACCCTTTGATAATGGTATGGATGCAACCCTGCTTTCCTCAAGAAGCGCCAAACCGATTTCTGGGATACGCCATGACGTAACGCCAAACGTCTCGTACTAGTAGTCGGGTCAGCAAACAAATCATCCAAAATGGCTTCTTCGATAGCAACATGAATAATAACACCTGGTTCACGGCGATCTCGAGGCAAACCAAGTCCAGTGTTAGCCAGTCTCCTATGTACTTCTTGGAAGTTACGGGCTGATGGAACAGGGCGTCGATTTGGAAATGCAGCTAGATAAGCTGTGCAAGCAGCTCTAGCACTCCCTCGGTACATTCCATAATAATAATGGATATCGGCAATGTGTGCCGGAGGGAAATCACTTATACTTGGCATCGCGACCAAAAAGCGAAAGCGTGATATGTAGCAAACGAAACTGATAAAGTTAGCAGGAGAAACACAAATAGCTGCCTAACTGCCCAACATTCAATTTGTTTTTCAAATGGGCCCGCCTCCCCACTCGTACTTCAGCCCGCGCGACTCTACAATGAATCACCAAAAAAGGTATCTACATGATAAACAATGGTGCCTAGCAAGACGATGCGCATGGGGTTTTTTATAAACATTCATAGAAACTGTTACATTTGAGTAATAAACGTGCAATTTTTACTTTTATAAAGCTGATAACATGTAGAATAACTTACAAATAAAAAAAGGTAGGGTACAAGGGACGATATTTATAGAAAATTTGAAATTATTGTAAAAATGATGAAAAAAAAGAACAGATTTTCATCAAAATTTTCTTTATTCTAAATAGATGTCATTACTTTTCCTGGAATTCTTCACTTTTCAGGCACGTCCTTTTACCAGCAATCACTACAAAATGTATTCCAATATGATAGGCAATTAGTTTAAAAGTTGTAACGAGTTATTTCAATATGGTTAGAAGCTACTACTACAAATCTTAAAAAATTCATATATTCATAAAAAATCAAATTCATGTTTTTTTGATGATTTATCCGTCGATGAAATAGAGTGTAGTTTCTCTGACTTTGATATGTACACTTTATGAAGACTCACAATGTATACAACTTGAGACGTGGTCATTGTCGTCTAGACCAGTTAGGTGAAAATTAAAGCTTCCACCTTTTGTTGGGCACTTCGACAAAATTTAAGCAAGGAGGACTCTTTGTACTTTTTTAATCCCTCTAGCTTTCAGTGGTCTTTGCCATCATCATCAGGAGCTGCAATTACATTGATAAAAGTAGCAACAATTGTGTAAAATGAATTTAACAACATCCTCACATACTACTGTAAGTTAATTTAAATGCGTTTGTCTCAGTTTTGTTTTTGTTTTACAGGTTTTAAGATACACAACATAAACTCAATTGTTCGTTAAGTGAAAAACTAACTTACAATTTTGTTAAATGGATTTCAATTCTTTTCACGTTTTCTGGTGGTTATGTTAAGAAGTTATACGACAGGCCAAGGTGTCTAAATAACCATGACAAATAATCTATTTGAGGTAGAATAAATTTGAATTTCTAGCTGACGTTGAGTAACTAATATAGCAGATATTATGTGTTGCTTTCAAGTATTGCAAACAACTAAATTATTACTTAAAAAAGCATTTCGTGGTCTTCCCAAGATGCCCCTCTTCCGGTTTGAGCTGAGTACGCCCTTGCATGCTTCAGGTTGTGAAATGGCCGCTCGCTAATAACTCGCCTTTCAAACTATAAAAGTTTTACTTTGTCCACGACTCACCCTATATAATTAATAGAATGAACGCGATTTGTCGTCTAAGATTGTTCTGTCAATATTTGGCTTTCCATTTAGCCAGTACTTTGTGACTAAACTTCTCCCGGTGATGTATAACTTTGTATCACTTCCGAGCTGAAACCAGTTTCCTGATAAATCTTAAATTGCGTTAAGTGAACTTGCACGTAAATTGGAACTTATAAATTTATGAGCTAAGGGACGTGTCCAGGTTTGAATGATCGATAATGGACAAAAAACTGTTCGTTTCCTTTCATTGAACTCCTCAGAGGAAAAACTTTGTCGTCACGACATTCTGAGCTGGCCTCTCTTACTTTTATCGGAGGTAAAGTTAGTTGTGCCATTGGAATTGCAACTTTTCGTTACAATATCACTTCTATTCTTTCCATGAAAATAGACAAGACATGTATTGTTACTCAGACTAAAAATATAAATAGACAAATAATTCCCTACAAAATATCGTCGTCAACATAACTGTATTTACGATAAACAAATATATGCGACGCTGCCACTTCTCCATACTGAAAAATCTATTGAAAATGGAATGAGATATTGGTGTGCACTCCACCCGAAATGAAGGTGGACTTAAATAAGGTGTGGACGCTCCGGTCGATCGTGGGTCGATCAAACAACTGCTCCTAGGCAGTTGTCAACGTCACAGAGGTGGCCGACACGCCGCAAATTTAATTCAAAACGGATGCAGATTCATGTTGGGTAATTCACAGCGAACATTACATATATTTTGCCCAGTCAGTTGTTTGACTGGATTTGTTCCACCTTGGACGAAACTTGCTCTCATTCTAAAGTAGCACATTTCTACCGACCTTTTGCCGAACGTGGCAACGGTGTTCAACGGCAAGTGGTGGATGCGTACACAGAATTTACAAACATCTGGTGTTTGTTGTTGTGCACAGTGAATTTGTTGCGAGTATTGTTATCATTGATAGACAATTTTCAAAGACAATGGGACGTCGGAAGTGCATTCTTTGTGGAGTTAGCAGTGAAAAAAGTGAGGCAACATTCCACAGGTGAGATAGAGGTTAGAGGAGGACAAGGGCGTAGCGCATGGGGATGCGTTGTGATTTTTAGTATTAAGAAATAGACATTTTATAGTTATTGGTTGTTTTTACACTGTATGTGTGGTGATTTTCAAAAAATACTCTTCTGTTAGACACGTTTTTGATCTTTCAGGTTTCCTAGTGATAAGAAAAAACAAGAAGAATGGTTCACTATCCTCAATATTGACATAAATGATTTACCACTTCATGTCTTTATTTGCGCAAATCATTTTCACAAAAGTGATTTAATAGAAGGCAAAAGAACTCAACTAAAGCATTCAGCAGTTCCATCAGTAGAGTCTTCGAGGCAAACAGAGTAAGTCCTTAATTATATTTAGCTATTGGATGAAATGGAATATTTTGTTGCTATACTTTTACTTATCTATTCCAGTGATGAGGATAATGAAGTCAATCTTGCCCACGAAATTGCCCTAAGCCATTCAAATAGTGAACATCTGGAAAGCAGGGATCTACCTAGGTGTGAAATTTGTTTTTTTTTAGATGTTTTACATCCATATCTGGATCAGCATATATCAATACAAGAAATTTTTGACGCGCTAAATGGCTAAAATGGCTATCAGAGTCTACAGAGTACGCTAAATCCCCAAGTATACCGTTATGTATAAAACGATTTATAATCCAACTTAAGCTCCACAATAAATGTAGTCTCAAAATCTTCCTAAACAATATTTCATACAGGGTTGACCAAACAGACTATTGTACAATATGTAATACTCGAAAGACCGAATCTTTAGGACATCTCCTCCTGGAATGTCCATTATACAATCCATTGAGAGAGCATATTCTGTCAGATCGTTTGAACCAAATCTGTGTCTTTGCTTGCCTAAATAAAACGAATGAGTTGAATTTATGATACAAACTTTTTAAATACTTTAGGGAACTATTTAAGCTAAGATCTTTCTTAAGGAATGAATAGTTTTTTTGTGCCTTCAATATCAAGACAGAATATTTAAATTGATGCGTCAATTATTTATTCTTTTTCTGTTTGTTTATATATTTTTTTATATACGACTTTTGATCATGGTTACTATCATTTTCTTACTACACTAAGTGACATATAAATCCGAACACCCAGTTTAAATGGTTTTATTTTACTAAATTTTGTATAAGTACTTAATGAAGCATAATAAGTAAATGATAAAAATTTCAAAATGATTGCACTGCTTTAAAGCCCTTTGACCTTTAATAATGTGTGGATGCACCCTGATGTGCTACGCATTCTCCAACGCGCCTAGGCATGCTTCTGATCGGGTGGTCAAGGTCCTCCTGTGGTATCTCATTCCAGGCAACCACCAACTCCTCTCGAAGTGCTTCTAGAGTCTGAGGAGGACGTTGCAAATTGAGCAATCTCCTACCCATCATATCCCACACGTGCTCAATTGGGGATAAGTCGGGAGATCTTGGTGGCCATGGTAACAATGTGACATCATTATGTTGAAAGAAGTCTATTGTGACTCTTGCAACATGTGGTCGGGCATTATCTTGTTGGAAAGTTGGATCTGCCAGGGTGTCAAGATAGGGTAAAAGATGGGGTTCTAGAACTTCGTGAATATAACGCTGCGCGTTCATGTTACTTCTGATGAAGATTAAAGGTGACCTGGAACCATAAGCTATAGCACCCCAAACCATAACCCCAACAGTGTGATGAACATGTCTTTCAACAAAAAACTGTGGATTCCTCCTTTCACCACGTCGCCTTCTAGCCCTGGCACGACCATCGTGCATGCCTAAACAAAATCGAGACTCGTCACTAAAGACAATACTGTTCCATTCCTGATCCCAGAGTGACCGTTGTCTGCACCACTCAAGGCGATTACGTCGGTGTTCTCGAGTTAAAGGGAGGACCCAGTGTGGCCGGTATGAAAACAAGCCAAAACTTCTCATTCGTCGGTAAACACTTCGCATGCCAATAGGTCTTCCGTGTTCTGTAAACCATTCATTTGCAATGGACCTGGTAGTGGAGAAACGGTCCCTTAAGGCCAATAATCTTAGGCGGCGATCTTTAGGGTCTGTTGTTCTACGGCGGCGTCCAGTGCTCCTTGCTCTTTGCGTACGGCCTTCTCGAAGCCATGTCTGATAACACCTAACCACAGTGTCTACACTTCTTTGCACTCTGACTCCAATTGCCCGAAAAGAAAGTCCAGCTTCCCGAAGTCCCACTATACGGCTCCTATCAAACTCACTAAGTTAACGAAATCGCACAGGTCTCCGTACTCTAGGCGTCGTAACCGATCGTAAAGGATGTCAAGAACCAAAATCCGCCAACGTTGATTCTTTACTGCTGCTGAAATATTCATTTTTAGAGCGTTAGTGAATTAAAAAAAAGCAGTATAAAAACCGGAATGTCCAACTGATAAGGCTGAAAATTTTTTCACTTGTTATTTACAGTAAGATAAATACATCCACCAACTTTTATTAAAATAAAACCATTTAAACTGGGTGTTCGGATTTATATGTCACTTAGTATATTTTTTTTTGTATTCATACTCTGGACAGGAAATTGTCTACTCAATTCTATTTACATAATACTCTCTCTCTTGTTTATATACCTTTGTACTAGGTATTATGAAACAATAAACCTGATAATTAAGTTCCAATAATAAAACCTTGTTTACTTCTCTGTGTTTATTCTTTTCACTGCCATGGAAGGTGATACTGGGTGTATTAACCAGAACACCATTACAAAAAAAGCACCTACGCAACTGGTGGAATCAGCTGTGGTCTGCACATACACAGCTTATTGTTTGTATTTGTTTTGAATTGGGTTTGTTTGTCTTCATGCACTACAGTGCCGTAAGAATGGTAAGTCTATTTATATTTTTAGTCTGAGTATTGTTATGATTAATTTTTGGGGTATAAATGAGTTCCGTACTTTGTTTATGGTGGGAAGTTCGTGCCTTTCAAAAAATTGATGAACTTTGCGTCTGATGGCAGGTTGAACAACTCAATTTATCTAATTCTGAGCCAAGCTTTCACTCTTCATTATACAGGGTGTTCCTTAATGATATGCGAATATTTGATGGTGTCAATCTACACGAAAAATTAATGTTAGTTTGCTCTATAAACTATGGTCCAAAAATGTTTCCTTACAAAAACTTGGGGTGTTGAAGTTTTAGGAAAAAAAATTGAAATTAATTAATATTTTCGGAACCGCTTCAGATATTTCTCTGAAATTCAGTACGTAGTGAAAGTTAATAAAGGTGCATATTTTTCAATGCAAAAATAATTTTTAGCTTTAACAGTGGCGTGCGTACGGGTATTTTTTGCCAAATAAAAATTATTTTTGAATTCTCCGTTCAATTTAAAATAAATGATCTCTCTTGAATTGTTTTCTTTTGATGCGCCATTCTTGAGTAAATAAATAAAAACCGTTCTATTATTATTAATTTAATTGGAAAAATTAAACACATCAGGCGTAATGAACAACAATAACTGACAACATAAGCATAAAATTAATATCAACGAAATGATTACAAAAATTGTTGAAAATGACTCCCTTCATTTAGTATGCATGCTTCCGCCCTCCTTCTCATGGAATTGCGCACTCGTTGAAATATCCCTAGTGTTTTTTATTCTATCACAAGCTGCAACTACTCTTTCTCTTAATTCGTCTACAGTGTTAATGGGACTTGTGTACACTAGTGTCTTAAGATAGCCCCACGAAAAGAAAGCTAAACTGTTGAGGTCTGGGGACCTTGGTGACCATTCTTGGGGCCCACCGCGGCCGATCCAACGATTTGGATAAACAGTTTGTAAATAATTACGAACCACTACACTGAAATGCGCTGGTGCACCACCATGCATGTACCACATAGTGTTTCTTAATACTAACGGAACATCATCAAGCAGCAAAGGGAACTGTTGTTGAAGAAAATTGAAGTAAGTCTGTCCGTCAACTCGTCCCGGCAAGAAGAATGGCCCAATAAAATGGTTGCCAATAATTCCTGCCCATACGTTAACCGAAAATTGGTGTTGGAAATGGGTTCCGGTTACGGCTTACAGATTTTCTTCTGCCCACAAATGATTATTGTGGAAACTCTGAATGACATTTCGAGAAAAATTAGCTTCGTTCGTAATCACATTCATTGATTCAAAGTGCGGATTTTGTGTAATTTTTTGAAGATACTACTGACAAAAGGTCACACGCCTTGGAGAATCAATAGGAAGTAATGCCTGTACTCTTAAGATATAACAAAAAAATCACTAAAATTCTCCAAACAATTTGATGGCAAATATTTAAGTGTCTAGCTATCTTCCTCGTTCTCGTTTCAGGATGTTCTTCGACTTCGTGTAGCTCTGTTTCCTCAATTTCAGGTATTCTCACACTTAGAGGTCTACCTTCAGAAGTTCCTTTTCGGACAGAACCAGTTTGAACAAGACGACGATGAATATTAGAAAAGGTTCGACTATCTGGCAAAGTACGATCGGGATATCTCTGGTGATAAATCCGTCTGGCTTGCTCACCATTATCGTCGGCAAGGCCATATACGTAATGCATTTTCGCCATTTCCATTTGAATAATTCACCATTATTAACAATATTGTAAAAACTAAATAATGAAAAAGATGTCACGGCGAACAGATTTAAATAACAGAGACTTGTCAGATGTCAAAAGCCAGTGACATATTCCAGAGCAACTAGATATTTATCGCTAAATTGCATTCTTCAATTATTACATTAATTTTCTCGGACAATAGAACGGTGTTTATTCTTTTACTCAAAAATGGTGCATCGGAGAAAAGCAACTCGTGAGATCATTTGTTCTAAATTGAACGGGGAATAAAAGAATAATTTTTGTTTGGCAAAAAACCATTGGTGTACCAACCATTTCTGAAAAAATACCGAAGTCAATACCCGTACACACGCCACTGTTGAAGCTAGAAATTATTTTTGCATTGAAAAATATGCAACTTCATTAACTTTCACTACATATACTAAGTGACATATAAATCCGAACACCCAGTTTAAATGGTTTTATTTTAATAAAAGTTGGTGAATGTATACTAAGTGACATATAAATCCGAACACCCAGTTTAAATGGTTTTATTTTAATAAAATTTTGTATAAGTACTTAATGAAGCATAATAAGTAAATGATAAAAATTTCAAAATGATTGCACTGCTTTAAAGCCCTTTGACCTTTAATAATGTGTGGATGCACCCTGATGTGCTACGCATTCCCCAACGCGCCTAGGGTCAATGTCCTCCTGTGGTATCTCATTCCAGGCAACCACCAACTCCTCTCGAAGTGCTTCTAGAGTCTGAGGAGGACGTTGCAAATTGAGCAATCTCCTACCCATCATATTCCACACGTGCTCAATTGGGGAAAAGTCGGGAGATCTTGGTGGCCATGGTAACAATGTGACATCATTATGTTGAAAGAAGTCTATTGTAACTCTTGCAACATGTGGTCGGGCGTTATCTTGTTGGAAAGTTGGATCTGCCAGGGTGTCAAGATAGGGTAAAAGATGGGGTTCTAGAACTTCATGGATATAACGCTGCGCGTTCATGTTACCTCTGATGAAGATTAAAGGTGACCTGGAACCATAAGCTATAGCACCACAAACCAAAACTCCAACAGTGTGATGAACATGTCCTTCAACAAAAAACTG